AGATTTAGAAAGATTTTCAGTTCATATTACTGAATAAAACGTTTACATATGCTTTAACGAGGAAATCTGATTCTAATCTAGTCATTATGACAGGAAGTGTCAAAAATGGAAGTCAACATTTACTTGTCAACATACTACTGACCAAAATAAGCAGTTAGAAACCAGTCACTCTGATCTGTTGATTTTACTGACTAGATCAGAGTTATTTAAACATTGGTCGACTGTTTCGTACATTCGAGACTGAGACAAGACGATTCAGACTCAGAGTAATTTATCTCACTCAAAAAATTGAATTGCTTAGATGAACCAAATCTGATTAGCTTACTTGGTTGGACAGGTATACCATTGAATGGGTAGACAAATTTGCAAATATTTTTTACAAATTTAACGATCCAGAATGTTATTTCTCACAGGTGAAGGTTTTTTTGATTACCCAACTGTTGTATCAACACTGATCCTTAGAGTGTGTAATTTCATTTTTGGATGGAATTTGTCTGGATATACTGCTGATATACTCGGTCCTAAACGAACAAAACAGCCATCCAGAGCTAAGATCACCCTCATCTCGCTAACAAAATCTACAGATCAGTGTGAGTGTTGTTTAGCTACTCATATTTTTGAGTATTATATTTTGTGTCAGAGGTTACATTTGTGATTCAGACTGGATGGTGTCCTACGGAAACCATGTTAAAATCAGAGTTGTTCAGTTAGAACGCTACCCAACTGCAAAAAAGTCAACGTGAACCTTGCTGGTTGTACATGTTCATAAAGCGAACATCCATTGACTTATGCGTTCATTTTGAATTGACATCAGAACCACTAAAAGACTGACAACGCTGGACAATTGATTCGTCCTAGTAAGGAAATCCTCATAAGTGCGCACTCACGACTCCTCCGTGGATCGGACATGGAACCTTTAGAAATACAACCGTATGGTGTGTCCATTTTTCTGAATTTAAACTTATCCAATGAAGAGTTTCAGTCTCAGAATTTGTCACATTCAAACTGTAGAAGGAGGCTTTCCTTGACAGAGTTAGAAGCATGAATACGTCTTATGATAGATATTAGTAACAGAAATTTCGTTCTTCAGTATCCATCAGAATCTAGATTTCAAATTTCAACCACAGTAGCTCTTTATAGAATAATGTCAATTTTCAAAGCACGTACAGAGTTGTCGATCTACTTTGACAGAGTAGTCGCACTAGTTAAGAAATAGAGAGTATATGGAAACAGCTAGATGGTGACGAAATCTCAGCTCGGATACTGATAGCCCGTTTGACATTTGCCAACTTGTGTCACCTGTGGTACTGACTGGCTCGCGTTAAGTAAAATCATCATGTGAGTAAGACTGAGTTCAGGCAAAGGGTATTAGACACGATGACTTTAGTCGACTGAGGTGGCGTGAAAATGTACTGCGCATACACAGCCGCTGCTTACATCGGTGCCCTATGCTAGTTGGTCTGAGCCATGTGGGGAGGTTTAAACTGCCTGGCTAAGGTTGCCAAAATGGTGGGAATCGGTGGTTGAGAGTTCTTGGTGAGATGGCCAGCAACTGATTACAATGGCGCAAATGTATTCACTCCTGGACACCTTCTATAGCTTGAATAGTTATGCAAACCTATACATTCAGGCTGTTTATTCTCTCACACTACTTTTATGTCACCTCTTTTTCATTCACCTGTTCTTTTTATGCCACAGTGAGGTGTAGCAATCGACAGCCATTCATACTGACCAACTGATTTCAATGCATATGAACAACTTCTCACTGTGAAATGAAGTTTTTCACTACTAATGAGCTCAACATAAAATGTGTGAAGTAGCTGTACAGTTTTAAGATCACTCTGATCTGACTAGCATAATGTTCAGATCGATGTGACTGGTTTCTAACTACTCATTTGCTTTAGTAGTATATTTCCCTGACTAACATTTTTCCTCCATAAGACAAGATAATCAGTGTATGCGTCCTCATTTGAGTGATATCTATCAGAAACTTTATAATTCCATGTATATATAATGTCGAATAAAAGGGATGAATATATCGTAAGCTATCCTCACATAAAGAAGTGTGCAAGTAAGGCGCTCAATGGTGAACCCGTAGTTATTCCATCATCTTGTCTGTATACTTTATTATTGAAAGACAGTTGGACGTTCAAGATGCATCTCAACAGCAGCTGCTGCCTCCCTTGAATCAGGTTCATATTAGAGACGGAACTTAATTCTAAGATATGCAGCTAAAAAGATGAGATAACGAATTATTCGAAAAACCTACCCACAAAAACCCATATGGAACGGTTAAATTACGAATTTTCATAGTTCAGTGCCACTATGCACCAAATGAAATCTAATCCACTCTATATGTTATAGGATCCACACTATTTGCAGTCCTGATACTTTGTAAGATGAACTTAATTTTCACAATAATTATTCGATTGAAAACCAGTATCTTGAGTTTTTCATTGGTAAAACTATGAAACTGAAAGTAAATAATCATCCCACTTCTATAGTTCCTAAGAAGCCTCCTTTTATTAGCTTACAGTTCAAAGGAGACACATCAGCGGATATTTTGAGAAATTTGTTGGGCATGCTGATTGAGAAAAACTTTCTATGCTGCCAAACTCAGATAAACCTTCTCCATCCACCTAATGTTTCGATTATGCGTAAAGGATAAGCTAGTCCCCCTGGTCACCTCGATGTGTGTTTAACAGTTCACCTGCTCCTTTGTGGTCGATTGGATCATGCAACAAACAGTAAGGAGCGAGAAGAGGGGGATAAGCTAACCGGGGTACAGATCGTAGGAGATTTGGATTTCGCTGATGACTTGTGTCTAACGTCAGACAAACTCGAAGATCTACAGGAGGAATTCAACAAGTTGACAGGAGAGGCGAGGCAGCGAAGACGGGAATTCAAGTGAACGTAAACAAGACAGAAGTGATGATGATACCCAACCAACACCACCAACAACAACAACAAGCTTCAATCACCATCAACAGGAGAAACTTGAAAGAAGTAGCCTCTTTCACCCACCACCCACCCACCTAGGCAGCACCGTTCCAGCTACAGTTGGCACAGGCACAGACGACGACGTCAAAGGCAAGATCGGAACGATAGCGAGACAAGTGTTCATTAACCTGAAATCAGTGTGGAGATCTGCACTCAGCATGTGGAACAAGATCCAGATTTTCTACACCAACGTCAAGTCAGTGCTTCTGTATGGTCCAGAAACTTGGCGCGTCACGGAAAGCATTGCCAGTAAACTACAGACACTCATCAATAACTGCCTATACTGACTCGTTACTGAAGCTCAGATGGCCAGAATAATGAGAATAAGTAACAAGGAACTCTGGCTGGCTGACAACGAACCATTCAAGAACCTATCACTCAACGAATATGCAGAGGAAGGAAGTGAAGATGGATTGGGCATGCACTGAAAAGGCCGACTGGGGACATCACGCGCCAGGCCAGGCACTCAAGTGGGATTATAAAGGGGAAACGATGAGTTGGGCGTCCGAGGCCAGGGTGACATGTAGGAGATAGTGTGAGGAAAAAATGAGAGCTTCTGGGCAGTCGTGGAACTAGGTCGAAAAGATTGCAGGGAACAGAGTGCAATGGAGACGTGCTAGTGAAGCCCTTGTTCCATTAGGAACCCAAAAGACAAATAATAATAATATTGGCTGTACTCAGTGTTCACCTTTACAAATGCATTCCCACAAATATACCAGCTTTATTTCGCAAAGAAAAACATTCGATTGATTATGACCACCCGATAAATGTGGAAAACAACTTAGGGTCACATAAAGAGTTCGTGCAAATATCATATCAGGTGTACACCTGAAATTTCTACAAACTGTGAAAGCTATGACGATTAACACTTTGAGACCTGAACTCTGAATTCAAAAGAAATTCGCCCAGTCATTGGAGTAGTAATGAAGATGACTCATAAGAAAGTCTTTACCTTTTAAAATATTTTCATTCACATCTCACACATTACATTCTTCAACTTCTATAATTCTGATTTCCCTTTACATTCACCTTGTTACATAATCTAACTTAGTAACTAAATAATAATTCCGTGTTGATACGTCTTTTTCTCATTACTATCTCAGACATTATGTAATTCCTTTTTCCCGATCTCCTGACTTGTAATCAGATAAGAACCTTATATGGTGATGATGGATAATGCCTAGCAGTGGAATCCAGGATGCGCATTTCGTCCTATTTAGGGACTCGTCAGATGAATGTAACTGCCTCCCAGCGAGTAATGTTTTTCTCTCCTGTACTCGAACTCGGGAGCGATCGCTCCAAAAGCCAGAGGGTTTTCCACTACACCACCCAGCCACGACAGCTACTTCTTGTGCGACGGGTATAGTTTTTAGTATAATTGTTTTTATATAATACCGTCGTTGACTGGACCGAATTGGTCGGTCTCTACTGGCATATGAACCCTTGTGCCGATGCCTCGATATTACCTATGCTTTTATGGTAGTAATGATGGATAGTGGCTAGCAGTGGAATCCAGGATGCGCATTTCGTTCTATTTGGGACTCTTCATTAGGCACATCTAGATGACGAGTTCCAAAATGTAAGTTTTCTATAAGCGAAAATTAAGATCACCTTGACAAATTTTTTTCCCATGACTATTTTAACCCCCATTCGTTTTATTGTAATCAATATAATGCACAAAGTTTATCACCTCATCTTATAGCACATGGATTTAGACTGTTTCCATGAGATGATTGTGAAAGCTGGTGATAAGCTAAAAGATAAATCTCCATTATACTCAACATTGAAGAAGTCTTTCGAAAAATAACTAACGTATAACTTTTTCTATATTCTATTCCGAAGATTGACGACATTTATTATAGGACATCTTAGTGTAGCGTCTTTCATGTGACATTGAATATTACCTAATCTTTAGTTCAAATTCAACGAAAATGTGACTTCAATAGTCTGCTGTACTATGTACTACATAACAAGCGTAACAAAATAGAACAACCAGCTAATCCATTAAAACAATGAACAATTATGCGATATTTATTAACAAAAACTCTTGGATACATTGAAAAATACTGAATATGAATGAATTTCTGGGTAGAAGATTAAGAAAAGTACACATTATCACTGTAAAGTTAGGAGAATAAGTCGTAATGTAACAATAAGCAAGAATATCTGTTGTTAATGTCACATTGAAAGTCAATGACACTACAAAACGTTTAGTGTATTTAAAACAAAAATGTACGTTTATCAATAGTTAATGGAAATTTGTCTTTGTAACCTGTAAAATTAAATAAAATATAATCTAAGATTATGGGAAATTTTCAATTTTTTTGCGTAGTTTACTGTTTTTAGAAGCTAATTACAACATATGTCTAAGCATGAGTACTATTTTTAACAAAACCGTGTGTAGTATAAACGCCGAATACCTAAGCATCTTACTTTCAAGCGATAATTCCCCGGATAAAATCCCTTTGTGTCTACTTTAACTTTGACACTTGGATGACATCGTCAAACCTCATACAACAGTTTCCAATATATAAGTGCGTCAGAATGAGTTACATCATCGCTTTTCTCGGTCGCCATGTTGAGCTAAGTTAACGCTTTGAATAATACCCTGGGTTTCATACATACCGAACATCATCAGCCGACAAACTTATTTGTTGTCATAGAAACCAGAGTTAAAGATCCCTATGTGACCATCATCTGGAAATAATTTCGGAATCATTGGTAATATCATCACTTCGAATGTTAGTGGAGATTAAAGAATTCTGAGACAGCAATGTGATTACCTCTGCTTGGGATTTGTGTTCTTGTGTTGTTCATATTTTATGGCTCAATTATCAAATTATATGGAGGGTCTAAATGTCGAAAAAGAAGGAAGCATACAATCCCTTCCAAAGGCATTCATCATATCGATAGTAAAAATTCCAGAAAAGAAATAACTCCATATGTATTATTTATTGCTGCCTGTGTTTTTCCACTGTTTTACTGGATCAAAATGGTTAGTTTTTGTTCCGAAACAGGCTTCTATAGGGAGAGAGGCAAACTCTCCTGATGACTCTCAGATAGGATAAAACGCTCGTCGTGACTTCCACTGTTAGCTGCGATCAAGCAAGGCATAACTCTACATCCCTCCTCAATCTTACTAATAATGAAATATAACCGGACAGAAGTGATACTTTTCCTAGAAAACCTCAGTTTCTGGTAAAAGCTTCGGTAGGAGCGATCGGTCCCGTCTTCGAATCCTGATAGCAGACAGGTACATCCAGCTGACGAGTCCCAACTAGGAAGAAATGTTCATCCTGGACTCCATTGCTAGCTACTATCCATCATTACTAGAAGTTTATTATGCATACGTGGAATGTGACTCAACTTTTGTGGATGACAGCTATAACAGATAATTACAGTTACAAAAGATAACATTTCATTACTTTTTTAGAGGAAGATAATCATGGTTTAACTAACAGTTTTATGATTACCTCAGTAAGTTATTTTTCTGCATATGCTTCAGATGAGACGTATTCATTCAGTACTGAATTCTTGTTGTTCGGTATTCATCTCTCGTGTTGAATTCTCCTCTTCACCCTTTCTTCCTCAACTTCATTGACTGGTTCCAACAAAGTTTCTTCTGTATTTTTAGTAAACGTTTGAATATCTTGATCAGCTGTTGCATCCTCTGTTTGTATTTCTTCATTTCCAACGGACTCCGCATACTCTTCTATGACACCCGTTTTTAATGGGTAGTCTGTTGTCTCGTCAGAGAATTCATCAGTAGTTAATTCTTTCTTCTGTTCGAATCCATAGGAAACCACATCTTTAGACGCTTTTGTATTATCCTCAGTATACGCGAGTGTTTCGTCGCCGTTGTCTTCGCTGAAATCGAGCAGTTGGATTTCATCTTGACCACCGACCAAGTCTTCTTCGCCTGTTTTCATGTTGTCGTTCTGTAGATCAGCTGGAACGGTACTGTTCATCTCATAATTATCGTTCAACTGAGTATCATTAATTAGTGATGTGTTGTTTTCAAAAATAAAAAGATTATCAGTTGTCAGTTCAGGTGTTGATGAACTCTGTCCATCACTTTGTGAATCATCAGCAAACTCTGAAGAGAATAGTTCTGCAGTCGTCTGCCCTATCGAAGTGGGTGGTACACTCACCTGAGGATAATCCTCCATAGAAATGCTATGCAGCAATTGTAGTTTCGTTTGTCGTGATGTTTCTACTGTGTGGTTTAGTGATAATCCCATCGCATTTTTAACTGTTGGACAGAATGATCGCATTTTACGTACACTTGAGTAGTCATAGTGATCATTCATCTCAGGATAGTGATATTTTAATCCATAACAGATATAGGCGAATCGAAAGAGGTCAGCTTGTTGTTCTTTTGTCCAATTGCCTTTATTCAATAAGCTGAGTAGGTCATTAACTTCACTTTTATTAAATTTGTCTAGAAATTGCTTCACATATGATGGAACTACTACTTCTGGGGTATAAACTCCTCTACATAAGTCAAGTATATGTTTGAGATTAGGTAGATAAAGAAAATTTTCATATTGTAGGAAATGGTCCCGCCTATATTCTGAAGTTGCAATGCCAGCTAGAAAATGGAGAAAGAAAAAAATATTCTGTTCACGAATGACCTATATCTTTAGACAAATGATTATTACTCGTACCAAACAGTTGCCCTGCATTCAAAGTGGTTCCCGTTACCGAGTGGCATCAGTTGGAGAACCATTGAAAGAAAACTTTGGATCACATAATGACTATCGCTTCCTCATTCATAATGCTTCAACTGTGTTTGCGTACAACCATATGAAAGGTCTAGCCCCGCATATTCAGGTGTCGTTATATGTCGAGGTATCAATCTACCTTCTGCCAACTCCTGAATCAGACATCTTCTTGAATACTCTCTTTGAACAGAACCATAAATCATGAGTTATAAACTTATTTTATCTCCGTAGAAAACGAAGTTGCACAAGGCTTATGTCAACAATTCAAGTCTAGCAATTTTTCAAGAAGCGATAGGGTTTGCAATAATCCCAGTGATTACAGTGAATATAGGGAAGGTTGTCTTTTGGAAACACTAAGTGTTTCATCGATAAAAGTTTGGCCAATGATAGCTTACAGTGGGACTGAATACATGAGTTTCGTCACACTTTGGACTTGTCGGGTGGACAGACCAGCATCCAAGTGAATGACTATGTGCTCATTGAAGCTAGGAACCAGAATACATCAATGATTTATTGATACCGGTAATTAAATTGGAATAGAATTCGTAGGATCAAAGCTGCATACTTTTTCACGATCGAAATAATAGTAGTGTGAACACTGGTTCAACTGCTCATCTTGAGAAGTTTCGTAACTATTAGTACATCGTAAGGCAGCATGATAGTTCTACTAAATATCGTGCCATGAAACGGACCTATACCGTTTTAAAACTGGATTATATTACAGGCACTCTGTAAAAGGAACAAGCAACAAAGAACTCTGACTGGCAACGAACCAACCAACAAACAACGTACCACCCATAAAATATTCAGAGAAAGAAAGTGGAGATGGATGGGATTGGGCATACACTGAGAAAGCCATTCGGAGACGCAACGTGCCAGGCCACGCCGTCGAGTGGAATTACAAAGGGGAAACGATGAGTTGGGCGTCCGAGGTGAGGGTGACATGGAGGAGATGATGTGAGGAAGAAATGGAAGCTTGTGGGCAGTCGTGGCGCCAGGTTGAAAAGATTGGAGAGAAGAGAGTGGAATGGAGACGTGCTAGTGAAGCTCTATGTCCCACTAGGAACCCAAGGGATAAAATAATAATAGTAATAGGTACTCTACGCTAATCATTACTGGATCAAATTTCGAAACTGAAGTTATCCACATTTAACTTAATTCTTTTCAGAGAATAGGAAGCAAGTGCTTCACTGAATTGTAGCATTGTTAATTACAATACCAAGTGCCGGTAGTTTCCGATGACATTTAAGCGAAGATCTCCAATATTAACAGATATTTTACTACTGACTACAAATAAGCATGGTGTCTGCTTAAGGCATAACCTGATCCCTATTCTCTTTAGTAATCTAAATTGGGATATATAATACATGAAATACTTACTAATAAGTTGTTCTACACATACCTTTACTGGATACAATCTGTTCAGCAAATCTGCAAATAAAACGTGAAAAGCGTCATGAGGCTATGGATTAGGTTATATTATACTACTGAAATTAAAGTTAATCTTATTTGATGTCAGAATTCTAGAAATAATCATATTTCATCAGCGTAAAATGTTAGGAGTAAGTTGGGAAGAAGTTCTGGACCCAGATTTCGTGTTTATTTGTACTCATCAACCTGTCTTTCTGTCTGCAACCATGGTGAAACTTGTATTCCCTGAATGCTGAAATACAATATGGTTTCATACTTCCATAGTCGCTATCGATGCATGGATTTCAACTATCAGCCACCAATGTCCTTTAACTTCCTGATGCCAATCAAATACTTTGCCATTGTACTATTCAAGTTATAAATGACTCCATGAAGGATTGGATTAAGCGCAATAACTAATCACCAAACGATAACCGATATAAATTATTCAACCCTGAGTCCGCAGGACTAATAGGTTGATATACTTAGAGATAGAAATTATTAGCAACGGAAGCTGACTAAGGATTAGGTAGATTAAAAACAAGCATGTAAGTAGAAACTACTTCTTTTACTGGTTCTGTGTTATCAAGAAAAAACAATCAAAATTGTTTCTGTGCTTTCGGTTAAACTCATAAGAAGGAAACGCTTTCACATTTAACTCTCACAAAAGTTAACGCAAAAAGAAAGTTACTACGAAAAAAAGAAGAATAGTGGTCTGTTGAAGAAACACTGAAAACCTGGCAGCATTGAACAGCTGTTCCGTTTTAGTACGAGAATCTTCAGCAGTGTACACCTACAATCTCGCCAGAGATTGAACCCAGAATCTTCAGCTGTAATGCTGAGCACACTATTTGCCTATCATCTATTGAAAATTTGGGTGTTCTTTACTTCTATAAGCTGTCTTACAACTGCTTCCAACTATTCTGAAAACGCCTTCGGCGTTTGAAACTTTTTTAAGATTCGACAACAGATAGGTGTGATCATAAGTATTGAAAGTCTCACTATTGAAGTAGAATTCATATCAAAAAGTCAAATATGAGATCCGTATGAAGTACTTCGACTAAGTTGCTCACATGATAGTTGAAATATTTCGTTTACTGTGCGCTTACACAAGTACTTTCTGGCGTCGGTAGCAGGTCTTACCGGTTTTGATGTCTCAATAAGTACCAAATCCAAAGCTTCACTAGTCAACTGGTCAGCGGTCAAGATTTATTTGCGTGTTTTAAGCTAGAAGGTTTGGTTAGAGTCAGTATCAACTGTAAGATAGCAGACCTTTTGTATTTAAGGGTGAATAATGACGCCAAATGAGTGACATGAATAGTTGTGTATGAGTGCTGATGGAGGTGTAACTGATGAGATCCCCTGCTGAGTATCGGAATCAAATGGAGCATATGCCAGTCTGAATCAATTTAGATGCTAGCATGATGTTAAATTTCTTGTACAAGGTAGGGTTGAAAAAGCACTGGTTTGAGCAACTCTACTCTACGTTTGTGATTCATGACCTTTCCGGGCTGAGTTTATCCAACGATTTTGTGTTTTCCATCACTATTGTCTCCATAGGATATCTAGGATCGTGTGAAAACATCATATATGTAATTGTAAGGCGATGCTGTATATGACCAGTCATTAATTGACTGAGATCATCTTAAACCTCCACTTACGTTGGCTTGGACATGTGCCACACATATCATATCGGTGGCTTTCGTACTGTTCACTGTTGGCCTTGAAACCGGTTAGAAGAAGTGGAAGGATAGTCAGAGTATAACATTACTGTGAGATAATGGATAGTTGCGTTGTATTAGTTTCTTTAGGTGTTTCACACGACTCTATGGATAGTTACTAAAAAATCTTGAAAGTCAGTGGCCTAGATCATAACTGAAATAACTCGGAATCAAAACAAGTGGAGATCTTGCTGAAATCTTCTTACATTTTCTGTTATCCATAACATGGTTTCTTGAATCCCTAATTGTATCAAAATAAAGTTTCATTGTTTACAAGTGGAGTAATGAGTTCGTATAGTAAAGCAGACTTTACAGACTCTATGTTTACACTATGGTAATAATACTATTGAATTTTTAGGGGTTTACATCTTCGGTATTCCCTACACTTTGTAAATTAGGTCAAAGTAAGTTTCTTTTACTCAAGTTTACCTTCTGAGAACATTCCCACCCAGAAGTCTATTTTTTGCCTTGTAGTGGAATCCATGACATGAGTATCGTCCTGCTTGGAATTCGTCAGCCTCATGTACCAGCAACATAGTGAGTGGTGTTTCTCCTATTGAGATCCGAACCTGGTAACCATCACTTCAAAAGCCGAGTCATTATCCCCTAGAACACTGGAGTACAACAGCTACCATCTGTGTAAAGGCTATCAGTTGTTAATTATTGATACTTGTAATCTTTCTCTGATATACAGGGGAAAACTGCTCGACCTCTGTTGGCATGCGGATACTTCGATAGTGGGAGGATATTCACCCACCGATTATTAACATTCTTCTAATATCAGAGAATTCCTAGAAGCTTGGCATTCAGCTCAGTCAGTCAGCAATCAATAGATGTATAGACATACACCCAATCTATCAAACCAATGAGAAAAATGGTGAACGACAGAAAGGTGAGAGGTCAAGCAGAGGAACAGCCAACAGGAAAATCTATGCTTTCAGTCAATGACACAACAATCAATGATAAACTAGTTTGTCAGGCAAGTTACTCAATCACTCACGGAGAGATCTTGACACCTCAGTTCATACTGAAGTTAGTGCTGATGATGTCGCTGTCTAGAAGGAGGATGAATGCTCCACGATTAAACAACTCAGCTCAGAGAACACAACACAACCAAGATATATATGATATTGTTTTCTTATTAAAATACTTCTCCAGGCCTGCATTTCCATACTTACCCTTCATCCCTTAAGCCACAATAATTCCCATTACTGTCCCAGCACATACACTAACGTAGCTGCCTGTTATGAGTGTTTGAAAGCAAGGACTGAATTGCAAGATCTAATAATACTACTGAAACAACAATAAGTAGTGTGGTATATACTTCAAAATAAATAGTTGAGAAATGCAGTGATCCCCTTTACAAACTTAAGGTCTTTCGATCTTCGTGTGTAGTCTGTTCAGGGATTCCTGGTAGTGGGATTCAGAACGTGTATGTCGTCTTCTCTATAACTCATCAGCAAGATAAATCTAAATCCCGATGTCCTAATGCGCCTGCTGATACTTAAACCTGCAATCCATCACTTCCACGCATGGAACCGGTCCCACTGGGCTATTCAGTTCTGACAGTCAATAATCTGAAATTTGTGATCTGTAGATTTTAGATAGTCAGAAACTCTTTTCGCATAATATTTATCTTTTTCGGCCCAATGAGTTTGTGGATAACTGAAGAGAATGATGTGATAGTTGTTGTGTACAGCACCAAAAAAAATAAACTTATACTGGTGATGATTGAAGGTGAGTTGAAAATCTGGACCGCAGCCGGGCTCGAACCGGCGAACCCCGGTCCTAGATTTTCATCTCAACTTCAGTCATCACGTCGTATAAATACTAGTCTGCCAAACTGTGGCTACATCAGATAGTCAAATGATAAAATAAAACTTATCATAAACTCATAGCAACATAGATTCATCGACATATGAAATTGATATACCGATAGAGACTGAGCAGTTCACTTCTTTGATATGAACAAAAAAAATTTTCAAATTCAATGCGCATACAGTTCGGTTTGATGCCTAACTCTCACAGTAGACGTAGGCACATCATAAGATTAGCATACTCAATGAATTATATAACAATCAATTATCAATTTTCATACCCCAATAGTGTGATCAAATGTTGTCGAGTACTTTGTTGATGATCATATGGAACATAAATACTTCCATCTGAACTTTTAATCACTGTGATATATTGATAATTTCTTCTATCTGTTGATGGTACTCCTAATGTTTCTTCCAAACGATTTAACAAGTATGTTATTTCAGCCTGATTATTATCATTAGCTTTCACTGTAGGTTCCTTGAAGGATATATAAAAGAAAATAATTAAGCAAAATACTTAAATGGAAGGTTGTTTTTTAAAACTTTAGTTGCATTTTCGTTGAAATTGTGTCCTGATGTGATAAGATCTCAGTGTTTAACATGTGGATATCATCAGCACAAACCTACTGAGATTGCAAAACGGTACTTACGGTGCTCTCATTTATACTTTATAGTAGTTCATAGATACTTATGTTTTGTGGATGGTCAGTAAGTATATACCACATCCTCAGTGTGAGGAACATCACCTACTGGAAGGTAGGTACATCCATTTAACGAGTTTCAAGCAGGATAAAACACATGTCCTGCATTCTACTGTTAGCCACTATCCACCAGTACTATCTCTGATCTAACTTAAGATGATGGCCTATAAACATCTTATCGGTAATATATTTGAGCTGAGAGGCATATAACTGTAAAATAACTTACAATAACTACCACCGAATTACCATAATAACGGTCTGTTCAGTCGTTCAAAATTCCTGACCAAATGAATGCTATTTATATGAACTTTACAAAGAAATAGTATTAGTCAGTAATAAACCAATAGAAATTTCTTCATGAAGTAAGTGCTGATAGACTTGTGTAGCCTGATGTTGAAACGTCCAAGAGTAAACTTCAGATCTTAGGGGACACTAAACAATTATCTCTGACATCCTGAGTTACAAATCCTCTCTAAAATCGCAAGAAGACTCTCTTTAAAACTGATTACTTTCTTGATCAACCATAGGAGTTCTGGTCAGCATCATGATAAATAGTCCTTAACGTTAGTCAAAAGTCTATCAGTAAGTCATTATGGTCACCAGTCCAGATGGTTAGTAAGATTTTAACGTCTACAACTAAGCCACATGATACCAGTTGTTACACCGAGTGAAGCAATTACGTTCAGCTCAGTTATAAAAAAATATCAGTCATAAACTGTACAGCTCAAGTGTTGTAACGCTGATAGCAGTGTCATGTTGCAGATGTTCAAACCCCTAGGATACTGTCAGACCTTCAGAGATTAAGCTCATGTTTTTTTGATAGACGGCAGCAAATATAAAATCATCACCCATCGACTCTGAATTCCTGAAGCCAGTCAATTACTGGTGAATTCTGAAGGAGTTTGAATATTATCTGTTTAGACTATTCACAAAAACCAAGAAATTAAAATCTAGGTGGGACTGGCGTCCGAACAAACTAAGTAACCGAGACGTTTTAGTGATGGACTACAGAGATGAATGTGACGGAGTTTGACAGTAGACAAACTTTGAAACTTTAAACAGTAAGACTGCTGAATGGCTTAAATGCAAAGATTGATAACAGATTAAAAAATTAGTAGATATTTCAAACTGAACCTTGTTGCAATAAACCACAATTTTAATTTACATGAACTATGATCAAGAAAGACTAAACAATGGGTTGGATTCAAAATTACAACCGGAACAAACTGGCTGGATTCAGGAAAAACAAAGCATGTGCCGACCAAACTGCAACGCTACGCAGCGCACCATCATAGAACAGAGAATAGCATGGCAGTTAACTCAACTCAACCGCAACCTCATCGACTTTGAAAAGGCCTTCGACAGCGTCGACCGAAAAGTAATTTGGCAACTGCTCCAACACTACGGAATACCACAAAACTTTAATCAACCTCATTAAACAACTATATGAAGACACTACATGCCAAGTAATTCACAATGGGAAGCTCAATTATGCCTTTGAAGTGAAGACAGGGGAAAGGAGTAAGACAAAGCTGCAGCCTACTATCACCCACGATCTTCTTGGTTGTGGTCGACTGGGTCATTCAACAAACAGTGAGGAGTGAGAAGAGGGGGATACACTAAGCCGGGAAAATAACGTAGTAGATTTGGATTTCGCCGATGATGAGTTATGTCTACTGTCTTGTAGCAGACACTCAAAGATCTACGGGCAAAAACTAACAATCTGACAGAAGAGACGAGGCAGCGAAAACGGGAATTCAAGTGAATATAGAGAATAGAGAGGTGATGATGATACCCAACCAACATCACCAACACTAACAACAACAAGCTCCAATCACCATTAACGGGAGAAACCTAAAGGAAGTTGTCTCTTTTGCCTATCTAGGCAGCATCGTTCCAACTACAGGTGGTGGTGGCACAGATGAAGATGTCAAAACCAGGATTGGAAAAGCAAAATAGCCTTTCATCTATCTGAAATCAGGTTGGAGGTCTACTGCACTGAGCACAAAGAACAAGATCCAGATTTTCAACACTGAGTCAGTCAAGTCAGTGCTCTTGTGTGATGGTTGAGAGACTTAACGGGTCATGGAAAGCATATTTAACAAACTACTGACATTCATCATATCAACAGATGCTGCCTATGCTCACTCAATACAAACACTGAAGATCAGATGGCCAGAATAATAAGAATAGGTAACAAGGAACTCTCTCTGCCTGGCTGGCTGGCTGGCTGGCTGGCTGGCTGGCTGGCTGGCTGGCTGGCTGGCTGGCTGGCTGGCTGGCTGGCTGGCTGGCTGGCTGGCTGGCTGGCTGGCTGGCTGGCTGGCTGGCTGGCTGGCTGGCTGGCTGGCTGGCTGGCTGGCTGGCTGGCTGGCTGGCTGGCTGGCTGGCTGGCTGGCTGGCTGGCTGGCTGGCTGGCTGGCTGGCTGGCTGGCTGGCTGGCTGGCTGGCTGGCTGGCTGGCTGGCTGGCTGGCTGGCTGGCTGGCTGGCTGGCTGGCTGGCTGGCTGGCTGGCTGGCTGGCTGGCTGGCTGGCTGGCTGGCTGGCTGACAACGAACCAACCAACAACCGATCACCCAACTAATTTGCAGAGGAAGTGAGTGGAGATGGATTGGATTGGGCATACACTGAGAAGACCGACTGGGGATATCACGCACCAGGCCACTCCGTCGAATGGAATTACAAAGGGGAAACGATGAGTTGGGTGTCCGTGGCGAGGGTGACATGGAGGAGATGATGTGAGGATGAAATTGAAGCTTGTGGGCAGTTGTGGATCCAGGTTGACAAGACTTGAGAGAAGAGAGTGGAATGGAGACGTGCTAGTGAAGCTCTATGTTCCACTAGGGACCCAAAGGACAAATAACAATAATCAAGACTTGTATCTGCGTAAGTCACAGCGTATCTGAAGTCAAATGTCGAATTTCTTTTTTCACATAAGTATTTTACTGGGATTTTTTAGCACACCGTATCTTTATATCATCAGCATGAGGATGGACCTGCAACCCACACATTTCGCATGAGTAAACACGCCGGCCATCTATCCCTGGTTCTTTTATATGTCGGCATTTCTGGTAATGATCGCTCCGCAGGTTCATCTGCGGATCCTTTGTTGCTACTTCTGCTTCCTCTAAACAGTCAAATTAAGTCGTCTTCTCAGCATCAATCAAGCGGCAAGCCACTTAAAGGACACCAATTCAACGACTTCACTAAACTATTCGATTGGTAGCAACGGGTGGTGTGTACACAGGTAAGGACATACATAATCAGCGCAAGCTTATGACTTGCACTTACCAGGAATTTCTCGTTCACGGGGAATAATTGTAAGCCCCGATCTCGGTCATGACGGTGATAAAACAGTTTGCCCAACGTTTTCGGGCTACGCTTCCAGACTCTCTGGCACCGTCATTGTAGTGCACGTGCGACTATGGCCATCTAAGGGCATCACAAACATGTTATTGCGCAATTCTGTGCGACTTAAGTGTGCCACCCCCCCCCCTCTAAGAAGTAAAAGCTTGAACCTTAATCACCGAAAAACGATCAGACTGCTCCGTAAGGAAGTAGTAGAAGCCGCATCTTGAACGAGCACAGAGGATCAGTCTACTGTTTAGTGGGTTAAGGTTTTGTTTGTTATCGGAATTAAGCAGACAAAGGGCTCCACCAACAAAGAACAGCCATTTCAAACACGCTGTGATGTACGAAAATACGATCTGTATCTAATGTCGAAGTTTGAATGCTTTAATTTTATGACATATCACTCAAGATATCAACCCTGAAGTTCTAAGTGAAGCCTATCGATAGACTAGAGAATACTGTCGTTTAACTAAATGACTCGTCACTACCTGAAGTTTATTGAAGAAATTTTTTGAAATATTTGGGCAGAATCACTTGAAAAACCATGCAAATCAAAGCAGCATCGCACAAGGAATATTTAACCGCAATAGGATCTAGTCATACAGGATGAAAAATTCCAAAACTACATCCATCGAAAAAGAAGCGCCTATCGTGACTCATTAGCTCAGTGGTTAGAACTAAACTTTTATGACGACAAATCTTTAAAAAGGTGAATCAGTTTGCAGATGCTGTGTTCAAGGTCACACATTACGTCCGTGTACCCTGTTGTTTAAGCTGTACAAACGTTTGATGAATAATGACGAAAATTACGTTATGAGTTATTCTTATAGAGTTGGATGCTTTTAAGAGGTTTAAAAACTGGGAATATGGTTTTGCAATGGACTTTGTATTTAATGATGAGAAGAGAGATGGTTTTATTTTTCGTTGCCCTAACTTTTGCACGAAGAAGTCTTTGATAACAGGATGTTGTTCAAAGGATCTCATCTAATCGTCTAACAAATAATGATTTTAGTACTATATTAGATTGTTGGAACATCTTCAATATCAGCAGAAGCTGTGACAGGTATATACAGTTACCTCAGTGCAGTGCTGTCAGCAATGTAGAAATATTTAGTATGAAATAATATGCAAGTTAAAAGGAACTCTGGCAACGAACCAACCAAGAACCTCTCGCTCAACAAATTTGCAGAAGGAAGTGGAGATGGATTGGGCATACGCTGAGAAGACCGACTGAGGACATCACGTGCCACTCCATGCCGTCGGGTGGAATCCAAATGGGAAACGACGAGTTGGGCGTCCGTGGTGAGGTTGATATGGAAGAGATCGTGAGAGGAAGAAATGAGAGCTTCTGGGCTGTTATGGAGCCAGGTTCAAAAGATTGCAGAGAGCAGAGTGGAATGGAGACTTGCTACTGAAGCCCTATGTCCCATTAAGAACCCAAGGGACAAATAATAATACTATGCAGGTTGGATATGAAGTTTGATGCAGTATGTAGTGTGGCTAAAATGAATGAATGGCTTGTTCAGAAACGTAAATATAACTGCTAAAGACGACTTAAGTAGGACTTGGTAAGTTACTTATCTGTATCTTGACAAATCACAGACTTTTTCAGGAAATAAAGATTAGATCAGGTGAACCTGTCGCACCAGTCAGAGAAAAATGGTTAGCTCCGGGTAGCATATGATAAACAGACGCTAAGAAGTCTTACATGGAATGGTTTACCCCCATCCGATTATTGTTGATACGACAACCAAAGTACGTGCAAACAATATTGAAAGTATGGGAAGTGGTTTTTGACCGTTTCTAAGACCTTTGGCAGAATCACGACTCCTAATATTCCCCAAGAGGATATAATATGGTTTCATATGAATGAGTGAAAATACAGAAAACCAGTAATGATGAACTTGATGTTTATCCTTCATATACTTGTTCCTGATTGGTCAGTGGATGCTTGAATATGATTGGCTGTTACTACAGCTTAGTTCTATTCTTTAGTGGATAACGAACGCTCTAGCATTTAAAGTGACGAGTTTTAGGTTTTAATTTCCATGAGAACGAACTCAGCCACTGAAGGACAAGTAAATACTGATGAAGAGCTCCAACTAGGATGAAGCATGTATCCCGGATTCCAATATTCGTCACTGACAGTTATATGCGGTTCATAGGTACTTCAAAATCCTTTTCCTGTAATTAACGATATAGCTATGTTTCAAATGTAGTCAACAAATGTTTAACAGTGTGTAATACTCGACTGTCTGAGTGGAACTTGTAATCGATTAAATTACTGATAACTATGACATAGAACACACAAAGAGAAAATTGCGCGCAGACGTCCATGTAGTGCGGTAAAAAAAAATCTAACTAATATGAGTCGGTTCGATTGGTGCACACCCAGCCATTTCATTTTGAATCAAAAACTCGTTTTATTCTTCAGAGGTTTTTCACAGTGTAATATACTTCATGTGAAACTACAGTGGTGTTGGTTTGCATATTTCTGAAGACTAGTAGACTAGTTTGTCATTGTCAACTGATAAACTTGTACTCAGTCATAGTGAGAAGAACAACTTTGGTAGAAGTTTGATTATAACTTGGATCAAGGTGTTATTTACAGTAACAGATATAAAAAATCAACGTAGAACATCACACACAGGTGCATCATCTCAAGTTGCCACAGTTCACATTAGTATATACAAAAAACAGATGGAGAGAAAAAGAATGACAAAGTTTTACGAGCGGATAAATAGTCTGAAGATAACGGTCAGTGCACATATTCAAGCTTCAGAAGATGTTGAGGAGTAAATACATCTGCACTATTGTGGCCGGTTTTCTACTATGTCACCCAGAGTCCTCAACCACGGATTCCTTTCGTGTCGGAGACCCAAACCAGATAGACTACATCTCCCCACACTGCTCAGGCCAACGGTAAGGGACTTTATGGATTGGTGCCAGGTCTTGATCTGGCCACCCTAAACCATCTTCTAACTTAATCCAATTCCATAGCATACCACGTCTACAAACGTGGCAACGGCTAGGGATACGAAGTAAATATCCAAGCCATCTCAATCGACTAAGGTTCACAACCTTGTCAATCGACTTGCCTGTTTTCCCTAATACCCTTCACTTGACCTTAACCACTTGATGTCTTCTTCTCATAACCTTCTAACAGAAAAGAACGAACTGCCATGCTTTGTACTCGTCCTTTAATAGACAGTCGGATATCTCATCAGTCCATACCACAGATGATGCAAGTTAGCAAACGCCAAACGAGAATTTTATATCCCAGCTGAGATTTAGTCAGTGACCATCTTGTTTAACAGGCTGATGCAACTGCCGAAGTATTTGAAGTGATTGATACGTCATCTACAAAAAACGTAAAATTCATAACTGACTTCAACTTACAGATACTTTAATTTCATGTTCTGGTGAATGAAATGATGATACAGAATCAATAGTTGTTCCAGTTTTATCAAAAGACTCATTTGAAGAAATATCTTGGTATCTATGGATAAAGAAAAAAGTGTGAACACGTTATACAGGTAGGATTTAGTTAGTATCAAGTATTACGAAATCGCCACCATCTAATTAACCTTGGAAATAAAACGACTATTACTTTTATTCAGTTATGGGTTTACTGAAATTTAAAATTCTAGTTTTCAGTGTAGTTGCTGCAGTTTACACTTCTGAAAGCTTCACTTGAAACTTGTAAAAAAATTCATTGTTTCACAGGCTTTCCTGAACTATCATCAAGCTTAAAGCGTTTGCATAAACCTACTTAGTAGACAGAATTAATATTTTTTTTAAACATCCAGACTGGTTGTTAGCCAAACTCACTGGTGATCATACCTTCCAAAGTACAAATTCCTTGTGATATTCAATTATTAGTATCAGTATTTTTTCCTTGGGTTCCTAGTGAAACATAGAGCTTCACTAGCACGTCTCCATTCCACTCTCTTCTCTCAAGTCTTGTCAACCTGGATCCACAACTGCCCACAGGCCTCCATTTCTTCCTCACATCATCTCCTCCATGTCACCCTCGCCACGGACACCCAACTCATCGTTTCCCCTTTGTAATTTCATTCGACGGAGTGGCCTGGTGCGTGATATCCCCAGTCGGTCTTCTCAGTGTATGCCCAATCCAATCCATCTCCACTCACTTCCTCTGCAAATTAGTTGGGTGATCGGTTGTTGGTTGGTTCGTTGCCAGCCAGCCAGGCAGAGAGAGTTCCTTGTTACTTATTCTTATTATTCTGGCCATCTGATCTTCAGTGTTAGTATTGAGTGAGCATAGGCAGCATCTGTTGATGTGATGAATGTCAGTAGTTTGTTGAAAGTGCTTTTCATGACAAGTCAATCAACGATACTCTATATGCTATCACAAAATTTTCAGTGATACAAACTATCCAATAGGGTATCCAAATCAACATTATTGGACTAAAAATGAGAGGTAAAGCATAACGTCGACCAGAAAACAAACAATATGACAGACATCGTCACTTCAATGTCATGATTTTATGAAATGGATCTCATGACATAATCGAGTATGAAAGTCTATTGCCGATTGGCTAGACTTCAGATCAAAGGAGAGTTCAGTGTGAGCATTTACTTCTTGACTTCTAAGGCATACTTACCACCATCTAAATATGAATTCATTAGTTGATTCCAACAAATCTGAAACCAAAACTGTTCTCAACAGCTACGCATTTAGCATCTCTAAATTGATTACTGAGTTATGCAAGTTTATCATTGATGATTGTTGGCATATTTTGTTGACTAGAGCTTACAAATATGAGACATCGATTTTCCCGTTTCCGTCTACTACTTTTCGGCATTTGAATTTCTCAGCAAATGAGACAAATAGATGGAATTAACTTTGTACTTCACCCTGATGAATTTCATGTACTTTTTCAGTAGATAACCGAAGTGATGGAACTACTGATGACTACTAGTAGTATATATGATATATTCCTTATATATTCTGTCAGTCATATTACTATACTATACTTATGTTCATTATAGGTCACTTTAATATCTCGTTAAACATTAGAAGAACATTTCAGCTCTCAAATTATCGACTACTTTGATCCATATAGAAGAATTCTGCTGATTCTACGCACCGTCTACAGATTTCAAATTAGCCATCATCATAATTTGATTCCAGGCTTCTATATTCAGTAAGTTACAGTTTTATCAAAACCTTTTATCCTAGCATAATCCTTATCAATAGCAGACTCTGCCTGCTTTATCACGGTTATTCTGTTTTCGCCAGTTCTAATGAATAGTGAGCGATATTTTCAGTATGAGTTAGAGAGATCACCTGAGAATCAAGACTGTGTTATGTGGGAGTTCAACTGCTTAGTCCTAAAAGTAATCGTCTGGGCAATGTAAGGCATGCTTTTTGATATACTTGTCGTCTAGGAATAGTCACATATTTTAAGAATCAAACCTTGATGAAAACAGTCTGGACCCCGACTAATTTAGACTTGAACGAAAGATACATCTGTCTTCATTTGCATGGATTTATTCCATTCCATTTTCTGCAATCTACGTCGGTTATTAGCCGTTAATTTCACCGATTTCCGGTCAGTTTTTTTAACATATTGTAAGATTGAAATAATAGCTTAAATAGTATCACATAACTTTTGGTTTGTAAGTTAGAAATATCATAAAGTTATACAAAGCAACACACGACAGTGAGATGAGATTCCTAAGGTAAGAGTGGATGAGAAGAAAACAAGTTTCTCAAATTATTATTTCCGACAAACTAATTATACAGGATACTAAGTGAGGCTTTTACATCTAGACATCATAATAACTCCATCAATACGGTTGATAGTATTCCGAATTATAAGCCATAGACAGAAGGATAAAACTGAAGTGTTCTCACAATTCTGAGGCTGGCAAAGTTTGTAATTTTACATTCCAAGCATCCAATTTAATCCCCCAATGCAAAGACATAATGCTGATAGGATTCTTAATGTCTATTCTTCGGGGTAATTACTATTAGGCTTCATGATGAGTTGACTGTTGAACGATGCCCTTCGCTTGAATTGTAGATGCGCTTCCGCCATATCTTATGTTTAACAGCCTAATTTCTGTCAGTTGGTTTTGAATTCATTGAATGTGGTTGCTTAAGCTTTATTTTGATCCCTATCTTCACTGATACTTCCCTTTGTGTCTGCTGCTTCTCATACTCCCTAACTTCACGCTAACCTAGTCTTCTAAGTGTATATTGTTCTTTATTTGTAAAAGAATAAAGGTTATGTTTGATGCCATTGAATATTATAGCAGGTGTTCTCCGTTTCTCAACAGTGTTCCTTAGACAACCACTGGAGATGGAAATTCTTCAAGTAAGTCTATGCTGTCTGTTTCCATCAATAGGTTAACTTAATAAGATTATGCTGGGTGATGATTGATAGTGTGATGGAAATCTGAACCTCAGCCGGACTCAAACCAGCGATCACAGGTTAACCGGTCCAGTGCTCTACCTACTGAGCTACGACGTCCGACCGCCGACTAGAATTTTATTTAACTTCGAACACCAAGGGTTTTGCCCGACTACTACATGAACTCGTGACGCGTTACTACTCACTGGCTGCCTAGTCAGCGAAATAAAATTCTTGTCATCAGTTGGACCTGGAAGCTCAGTTTGTACAGAACTGGACCGGTAACCCGGCGATCGCTGGTTCGAATCCGGCTGCGGTTCAGATTTCCATCTCACTATCAATCATCACCCTAGTCTGCCAAACTATGGCTATCTCAGATAGTCAAATGATAATTAATAAGATTAGATTGATGTCAAACTTTGAGTATGATTTCTCACATCTTATACCAAGAACAACTGTGGATCCGAAGAAGCTTCAATAAACTTTATCTACAAGTGAACACTTATTTTTATCTGCCAATGAAAACCATGTTTACCTGAAATTTTCAAGAATTTGTAATCAGAGTTTTAATAGCGCAGAATACAAGTTTTACAAATTACCTCAAGTAAACGTTGTAAAATTCACTGTCTTTTAGATTATACTAATCACAAAGATTCCTTATCTCTGAAAGTTCCACACTTAACTAAAAACCTAACCAGGAGTTTTGGTTTATCATAGGCCTAGTTGCGATGCGTAGTCAAAAAGAACACTGACTGGATAACTCAACAAAACTGGTATTGATTCCCATCAATATTCAATTTAACTAGATCAACTGAAATTACTAAACGAGCACTTACTCATCCATGGTGTAGAAATTGACAGCTCCTAGGCTACGGAATTCATAAACAGTCTGAAGATAATGGATTTCGTATTAAAACTATCCTCAAAAGTAAGGGTAAAACTTGAGCACTGTTGTAGAGTACGCTTGCACATTTGATTGAAAAACTGTTGAACTATGTAAGTGAAGTTTGACAATCGTATGGTCATTCTGACTTGAATATGAACAATAAATTCTAGTCGAAACATTATCCAAACAGGCAAATCTATGATAGACGCTTGTCTAAATTCACCAGAATTACATCCGAACCATTCAACGTTATAAATACTGTCACAAACTATGAATTCATCAACGTTGGTTAGTTACCATTAAACTTTGGTTAGTACTAACAGCAGGTCTTAAGTGTTTCAAGATCTCCGAGGAATTATACGTTATATTATTAGCCAGAATGAGCCTAAACATCTCTACATGATACATTGGAGGTCATATTTTGAAAAAGGGGACAAATATTCAATTTGTAACGTTCAAACAAAAGAAAGGCGCATAATAATTCAAGTCTGAAATAAAATGTATTATGATGTAATACGTACTGACCATTCTTTCGTAATATACATAGTGAATTAGATAGACAAATTCTTTTTAAGCAAATAAAAGTTGACTAAAATATGCTTACTCATTGGTCTCAGGAATTGTACTTCCTAGCAGAGGTGAACTTGCCAACTCCTGGTCCAAGGATTCTGTTTCTTTAGACCTTAAAATAAAGTAAATTATTATAAAATTACACAGAGAAAATATTTCCTTTTTAGAGTAATTTTATATGAACACATATTCACTCTACATATATCTGAAAAAACCATCTTACTGAAGTAACGATGAAGCTGATGATTCCGACAAACTAGAATTCAATTCTTCTTGAACATCAGTAGCTACTTCTTCTTCTTCTTCATACCTTTAAGGGAATATTGGAAATACCTTCAAGTTAATTTTCTATTTATGAAGGATAATTACTAGTTTTCCATTTTAGATGACATTTGTACAGATTGACTCATTTCATTATATCTGTCATAACAGAGAGATTGGAGTCAGTTAGAGCACGGTTGAGAAACTGAGAACTTCCTTTTAAAGCTGTGATGTACCGATGCCGGTGTCCCGTATAATGGTGAAATGTTTGGTAGGTAAAATTCTAGCTCAAAGAACAACTCACTGTCTATTTTACCAATATCTCATGAAATCTGTCGATCAGAGAAGGTAATATCAACTGTGAACTTAACATACGATCATTGAGTTGACATATTGACTTATCTGATTTCGAGAAAGATTTGACAAGGAGTCTTGTGAGAAAGTAACGATCTGGTTATTTCCTATGGTTATATCTAACTGTCTTTTGCTACCACATTTACTACTGAAAGAGGAAGATACAAAACCACGGGTGATCAACTATGGTTCAATAATCAGTCATTTCTATTTGCCCAAAGTTTGAACAGGTCCCTTAAACATTTCTTCACTCAAAATTTTAGTCTTTTCTCTGTGTAGGTCAATATGAAAGTGATCTATTCTTAATTGCCTGAAATGAAGAATAGTCAAGAACATTATAACCTAGTCATAAGAATACAGTAACTAACAAACTCTGTTAATCATAGAAGGCTGTTAAACGATGAAAACACAACTACTGAGCTGCTTACAAGTCTGTGAGTGTTGAGTGAACAGTTTCTACTCAAAACTATGTTTAGTTCATGATATCAGTCTATGGTGAGTACTACCTTGAAACCAATCAATCCCTAACGAAACCTCCTGACTTCCACCACTCCTCAGTCACTTACCTCTTATTGTGCTTCCTGAAATTTTCATGATAATTCTTGACCTATGGAATCAACCGATCAATTCTCAAGTGAAGAAAATACTCCATAGTAGAATTCAGTGATACTCAGCTTATACCACGGATCGAAAGAAGCAGAAAATAATGTTCATGTGCACTTCTGAGGAGTTCTATAGCGGGACGAAATAGTTATCTAGTGCTCTAGGGTTTTCAGTAATTCTCTATTTGTTGTCAGTTCGTTGTGAAGGCTACCTCAAGGTCAATCATTCTTCGTAAATCGTCTACTTGAATGCATTAAATTGAAGATTACACATCAGGAAATTTTATGAACTTAACATCAATGCTAAATAATTATCGAATACATCTACGTACTCGTATGTGCTATTAGATTCTTCAGGATTTTTCTCCGTTGTAGAATTCATCTCCTTATTCTCAGATGAAAATGTTTCACTGTAAAAATAAAGAGAAGCCGAAGGGACAGAGTTTACCATAATTCATACAATAGTACAACAAAGACCAACAAATGCAAATCAACTGTTTTATTTTTCAAGGTAACTAGCAGAGGAATCCAAAACGCGCGTTTCTTCCTACTTGGGACCCGTCAACTGAATGCATCTGTATCGCAGTGAATGATATCGTTCTTACTGTGGCTCGAACCTATTACCCTTCGCTTCATACTCCGCTAAGCCACTGAGGAACGATAAGATTTCAACAGATCATATGAAAGAAAGTCCTATATTGTATGTTGAGAAACGAGAAAAAAAAGTAAGCCTTTCACAAAACAGTTCTCTAAACAATTGTGTCCAGATTGTAGATTTGGTGATATAAGGAGTCAACTATGGGGTCAACCTTAATATTATTTCACCCACTAAGTATTTTACCGGATTGTTACATACACTGAGGATATGAAAGTATTCACAAATTATTCTAGATGTAACACTTCCTATCTAATTGAAATAATGAGTAAAGTTGAAGAGAAAACTTGTGGCCTGACAGCCGAGTATTTCACTTTCTTCTTATCATTGCCATAAATTTAAAGCTATAGCCTTCAATACTGTTACTTTCTTTCCAATTCAAATTAATTGTAGTACATTATGGATATGAGGCCGAATGGTTTGATCCAGTTGGTCAACAGAGCTACAGGACCTCACATTATTGCGTAATGGTCCAAGTGGTCACATCTCTTACCAGTATATCAACGTAAAACACGCCAAGATGAAAAACAAAGAAATCAGGAAGAAAGTAACCAAAAGTTAAATCCTATATAAAGGTGAACATGAAGATGAAGGTATGGATTTATCATTATGTAGAGTCTCAAATCATCAGCTTCTATCGTCACGCGGACCCAAACCATGAAGTCTAGATTTCCCCACATGGTCCAAACTACTTGTCAGAGACTTCATGAATTGATCCGAATGCCTGAAGTCTTCTCTACTTTTGGTGATGGTGTTTTACTGTCATATTCGTTTTATTCAGAGAAATTAATTCAACTAAATCAGCTGATAGTTTCAAGTGAAGTTTTCTAGGAAGGCAACATAAATCGATAGATGGTATCCTAGTCAATTGATAAATTCAACGCAAAATAGTGTGAAGTACCAATTTCAAAGGATGATTCTATAGCTGACCACTCAGCAACAAGAATGATATATCATATAGTGTGAATTGCTAATCTGACCCAGTTGGTAGAGTTGATGATTTGACCAACTAGATAATAGTTTCACTTCCGTTGAGTAATTAGCAACGTAGTACTCAGATATCAATGCCTCGTCATTGCTTCCTGAGCTTCATATCCACTCTAACAGATGGTTAACTTCAGTAGACATAATTCAATAACACACTTTTTGTTTATGACTACAAGTATCTAGACTTTGGTATCCTGAGTTGCATAAGCTTCATCTTTCTAGTAAGCTGCAACAAGATAGTAATCTGTATTAGCGAATAACTCGAGATTGTCTTGATTTCCAACAATCGAATTCCTATTCCTGTTCACTTCTTGTTGCCGTCTGTAGAATATTTTTAGCTAAGTGGAACTAACTTCAATTAGTAGTCAGTCTTTCAGTAAGAGATGACAGCAATGAGTCGTTTCAGGTTCAACTGATCTTCTGAATGACATAACTGTACAGATAAAACCGGTAATCACATCAATATACCTTTGATCGGATTCTATTTATAAAGAGATGCAGTACATCTGCTAACCTAATGTGCACAATATCCTATTGTATTGGATCCGATAGTGTCTGGTGAATAGAATTACAGTTTCATGGCTTGTTTAACGAAATTTCATTTACTGAACCTTACGTCCTAGACATTTCTGATTAGATAGTCGTCACTAAATTAACTGGCAAATAGAATTATTCTATCTGAAGATTTGTGGAGATTTATTAATTGATTTTAGACTAAAATTCATCGCGAACGGATATCAGTTGGAGGAAAAGTGGAAACCTGAGAGCACTGGACAGTTGTTTCGTCCTAGTATGGGACTCCTCAGCCGTACCTACCCATGACCCCGCCAGTGATGTAGGTCGCGCTATATTGTGAACTGACACGGATAGGAAATATATACCATTGGCTCCGGACCCAGTGATTCAATGGTAACGTGCTGGCCACGGAATTTGAATGTTCAGGACTCGATCCCTGATCGGGCAAGGTCATGGGTGCACACGGATGAGTAGTCCCAGGTTTATGGATAGATGTCTGAATCAACTTGGGATTTGATGTTTTAAATAGATTGTCCATCCACATAAAATTTTTAATTGAAGAAAGATTTTGTGTACTATGGAGAAAGTAATTATCCTATGTGCACAACAATTGTTGGTATGGCTATGGTAATATTTCACTCGAAATTACCGCGTATAAGTTCTATACTTGAAAGAAATGTCTGTTCAGTGTCCCTAGATTTTCAGTAGTTCTCTTATCATTGTCACTTTATAATGGATATCAACTTGAAATCGAAAAGTCCCCAAAAGCCTCTGACTTTCATGCTACAGTAATGTGTAATCTAATTCATTAAGTAGGCATTTCCATGATATCCGCGATGTTTAGACGCTTTAAATTGTAATTCGTAAAGCCAGTTATCAGTATCAAGGTCCTAAGGATTGTGGAGAAGTTAACTTCAGTAAACGTCGCTCTCAAACTGAACAACTGATATAACAGGGAGACATGATCAAAACTTCCACGTATCTGATCGAACATATAACTCTTATTTGCGGTCAGCTCTATCATGAATTTCTTATAACTAACATGTTTGATTTAAAGGGTGTCCAATATCTCTGCTCGATCACTTCTATCTGCTCAGTATCGCTCACTTCCAATGTCACCACTATGATAGCGATTCTTAGGACTGATTATTCAACAGGTGATGTTAATGGCTTTGAAGTACTACATGCTTTCCCTCTCAGAAGCCTACATACTGTTCGCTACTGCCTAGATTTAAAGTTGTTGAAACCAGTAGACAGTTAATCAATTCATGACTTGCTGTCAAATGATGAAAGGTAGCTGTATTGGCCTACCATCCATCAGTGCATTACAACATTCTGGGTGTGATCTCAAGATTTTGCAACCCATTGAACCTACAGGTCATCAGACGTCATGGAGAATTGACACCGGTAGCTATCATGGTTTTTATTCCAAAAGTAATGAGTGTAGCTTGCAGGACTTTTTCTCTAAACGTGCCGTCATTTTTTGAATTTCTATTCTGTCTTTATATCCTTATCATGTTTTGATATTACTATGTGAGATATATTTATTATACGCACTTTATATTAAGTTTGTGTTCTAAATAACATACGTCAGTCGATAAACTGACCGACACTCGGTTTCTCCTGGACACTTTTAGACTACAGTAGCCTGTTGCGTAAAAGGCAATTTCAGGCAAACAAAAGTATCAAAAAGTCCCTCATCTTTTCACATAAAAGCCTTTTATATTTTATGATTTGAGCTAATGAATGACAGTAAAACGAAAGCTTGATTTTTGCCAAGTTTCGAACGAGTGACTTTCAGGTTATTGACGCCACAGTTTACCATGTTATTGATTCGATACAACTGGTAACCATGTTTCAACTTCAATTCAATCATTTAGTATTCACAAAAAGATAATTTTTCTGAAACTTACTTTTCACTTGTCCTCAGTGTTGAGATTTCTGTCAGTACCGGACTAGTTAGTGACCAGGAAGAAAGATTGATTGTGAACAATAATATGAGTAACCACTGTAAACATTTCATTTTTCTGCACCTCTGAAGGAATGAATAAAACATTTATTTGAGAATAATACTCTTGTTTCGAATAGATAAAATGCTATTGTGCATAGATGTTAAAAAAACGTGGTCTTATGCTTATCTGCCGCTGAAGAAAATAATCCACTTGCCTAAGCTATACTTGGATTTAGTTCGTTACTAGATTCATTGAAGAGGTGAACCCTGTGGTCTTAATCTATCAATAAAGTTTGAAACATTTTTTACTGTCTGTCTGAAAAACTTTGAACACTAGCCAGCTGACTTCTATATCACACACTTGTGGAATGGCATAAGTTACGCTAGTTTTTAGTTTTCCTATGACTTCATACAGATGGTCTTACGCGTAGCCCATTGATGATCAGTCGAAAAGAATTGTGTTATAACTCTAGTTCAACCGAATCCACTAAATCAACGCAGTATCATTCAAAACTCTCCAGTGAAGTTTCAGATCACACATCATCTACAGTGATCATTAACAGATTACTTCGAAGCGTATCACATTCATTTAAACCGGCTTTGTTCCCATAGACGTAAACTCATCTACCGCTTGCCAGGAGGTATTCAAGTCACAAAACCTGACAGATCGAAAGCGATTCTGACGCATCTATTCAATGTGAACATTTTACAAGTTAATGTGTTTTATGCCAAACTACTGACATCATTCAATAGCGTATACCATGTGGTGTATTCTACCTTCATGCTCTAAAAAGTGAATATAATTGCCAAGCCTGTTGAGTGTTATATTTTGCTCTAAGAGTCTTGATCCTGGATCATACATGTTGTTATGAATTGTTCGTCTTTCCCTTAAACTTTCAAGGAGATGCAAATTATTGACAATTTATACAATCAGATTTCTTATCAGTTACTGATAAAAACTACTTAGAATATTCGAAGTTCCATTAAAAATATACTTAGGCGTTCTTACTGAGTGTATTTTTAGAATGAGTCAGTCTTCTTCAACGACGTTGGAAGCGAATAAAATACCCACTGATGATGATGGACAATAGTAGCACTAACTCACGAAATGACAAGAGAAGGAAATTGTTTAATTCCAGCCCAATAGCTTAGCGATAAGGCACTCACTATAAAAAGCTGACTATCCTGGAGACTCTATTCTTTGTAGGGTCCTCTGTACATAGTTCTGAGGCGTCACAAACTAAGCTGAATCATCAACTCAGTGCTCCCAAGGTTTTACTGGTCCTCCAACTATGGTTTCACTCTTTATTGAAGGCTGCTTTGAAGTCAAGCAGTCTATACAAACTATCACTTGTAATATACAAAGCTTTCCGTAATGAAAGAGAATAATGACTGTATTAGTTCCACATCTGAGAATGTTGTTTTCCAGAAAAACTTGCTCATCGACATTTGAAGCTGACTGTAATCTTATCACTGATCTTAAGAGAGTTTCTGTCGTTCAGTCTGTAAGCAATTCCAAGGCATAAATTTCCTTTCAAATCTTTTGGAAGACAATACGAATAAGGAAATAACAGAAATATATGAGCACATCTCGTCACACAATGTTGGCTGAAGTAGGTCTAGGCTAGAAAAAGGCTTCAGGTGGCCAGACTAAAACATGGCCCCAATTCATGAAGTCTCTGACAGTTGGTTTCAGCCATGTGGGACGATGCAGACTCACCGGTTGGGGTCCGCGATACAAGAGGAACCAGTGGCTAGAGACTCTAGGGGACATGGCTGAGAACCAATGTCAGTGGCGCAGATGTATACACACATTAGCCTCATCTTAACGACGCTATACCGAATCTCACCATTTTCTCATTTTTCCTTTCTCTCGTTTGGTAAAGAGTGTAAAGAATGAAAACACAACTTGTTAATTTGCAGATCGAATGACATCAGTTGTAGATGGTAAATTTCACATCATAATTCATGAAAAGAGAAAACTCAACAATTCAGGTTAATAATCTTATATGTAAATCGAGATAAAACTTGGATGCATATCCACTAGGTTAACCGACTGTGAACCATATCACCGAACATTTTTAAGAATCGGTTTCACTTGCTTATTATAAATCTACTCTTCTCTATCTGATCACTAGTTTCTAATATATGTAAGTGAAATCCTGAGAAACATATTTTATGGTTAGTGAATCCTGTTTAGGTTTTCAGTTTAAGTGTCAGTATTATCTTTAGTCCAAGAAGATTCAACGTTTTGACAAAATAAAAGTTATTAATTCATCCATAACCTGACATGATCAAACTAAACATATGTTCTATGAGATAATGCTACTACTACTACTACTACTCACACTACTACTACTACTACTACTACTACTACTACTACTCACACTACTACTACTACTAACCGAATTTATATTCGTCAAGTTAAGATAAAAATCCTCATCCATGATCAGAATATTTGATAATGGAGAAATTTTTACAGATAATTTATTAATATGTAACTCTAACTACTTCTAACTTGAAAATAAAACATTCTTAAACTATAGAGAACATTTAAAAAGGGATAGTAATGAACTCTGAATGTATAAAATAAAATTTTTGACGCTTACTTTTATCTAATGAGGTGAATTCTAGTTAACACCATAAGGTAAATGAATTCGACATAGTTCCTCTTTTATACAAAGTTGTTGACTTGACTAATTGATTATTGATTGGACAGTAGCTCACTTCCATGTACACATGAACATTTATCAGTTTCACAATATAATTATGTATCCATTTGTAATCGCTTTGAATGATAATTCTTTTTTTCTTCAAAAATATTAGTCAGACACAAAAATTTTCTATGAAATTGTGTTGACTAGTTTTTTCATGTACCACAGGTGATCGACGCACATACTTGTAATTGTCGAGTTTCATGTATAACTGAACTTAGGCAGTGGTAGTAGCCTCACTTTCTCATAACATATATCTCAGTTCAGGCTTAAAAAACATCTAGTGTGTGTGTGTGTGTGTTGAATTGCAAAACGGTGTGTAAATTAAAGCCTAACAATTGAAACCAGTTGATTTGTACACTTGCATTCGGGTTTCATAGAAGATGACGTAACCAGGATCGAAAAAGCAAGACAGGCTTTCATTAATCTGAAATCAGTGTGGAGATCTGCACTCAGCATTTGGAACAATATCCAGATTTTCAACACCAACGTCAATTCAGTGCTTCTGTATGGCTCAGACTTGGCTCGTTTTGAAAGGCATTTCCAACAAACTGCAGACATTCATCAACAGCTGTCTACACTGGCTCATTGCTGAAGATCAGTTGGCCAGAATGGATAAGCAACAAGGAACTCTGGCTGGCAACGAACCAACCAAGAAGCTATCTCTCAACAAATATGCAGTGGGAGGAAGTGAAGATGGGTTGGGCATACACTGAGAAAACCGACTGGGGACATCACGCGCCAGACCAGGCCAGGTCATCGAGTGGAACCCAGATGGGAAACGACGAGTTGGACGTCCGATGTGAGGGTGACATGGATTTGATCATGTGAGGAATAAATGGAAGCTTGTGGGCAGTCGTGGCGTTAGCTTCAAAAGATTGCAGATAACAGAGTGGAATGGAGACGTGCTAGTGAAGCCCTATGTTCCACTAGCAACCCAAAGGAAAAATAATAATTAATAAATAAGATGACGTGCATAAACCACACTTCAATAAAAGTTATCACTTAATGTATCTTTATGAATTTTTGAAAACAATAACCAGTGAAGTTATTTTTATCAGACTGACAACAAGATTGTTGATTTCGTAGCCGGCTAGGAAAGCTTCTTTATGCAACTGAAAATTTCAACTTAACCTAAAAACCTGGTTATCCCTGTCTACTTTGCTACACTAAAGCAAGTCTTGAATAAGTGAGTAACACATCCCTAGATTTATCCCCTTCCAGTGGTATGCTTCCATCGATGTGAATTCATCGAACAATAAATTGAAGCTGTTCAGGTCTTAGGAAATAGTAGAAATCCCCATCTATACAGAAAAGATGTTTTTAATACTTGTTAGTTTACAATCCAAACGTTCTCAAACCGACAACAGTCCAAAATGAGTACTAACCTGAAATCAATCAATCCCTAGAAACCCTCAAATTCAACTACTGTTTGCTGACCATTAGACACCTGCTTTGTGATGGATTTCCTGAAGTTCATATAAGAAGCCATGACCTATAGGATCAAACTAGCTAGGTATGGTGACAGATATCCGCAGATGCTATTGGACAGTTGTGCTCCGAGCCAAGTTTGTGTTATAACCATCCAGCTAAGTTCGGTGCACTTCAGTTTTTGGTCAGATGTTACAAAACAGGTTTCGTCATGCATTTCCCTTCAGCCAAATTTTCATGATGAATACACTCTATAGCGAAGGCTATGATATTTAATATACTGCTGACCACTTCCTAGGATGCTTATGAATGTACCCATAAGCGAATAAAGAATGCACTGACTTGTCGACAAATTAATGTTTACATTGTAAACTGGTTGAAAGTCTCCTGAGTACAATTAACCAAGGTAACTTATCAATTTTAATCAACCCATACATAAACAAACAAACAACTCTGAGTAATTTTATTTTATTTCACCGTAAACCTCTCTATTATCAGGAAGACAGTCTACCAACGACAAATTAAGATAATATTACCTAAAGTCCACCGAAGTTTAGTTCCACTGTGTCTTACACTCAGAACAAACACTTCGGCAGCATTGAGTAATAATCTCCCTTTGGTAAGTATCAACTTCTTAAACCACTACGACAGATCAGTAATAAAATGATTCAGAACTTATTAGATAATCCTCAATTAAGAAATGTTCAACGCCAGGGAAACAGAAAGAACTTCTCTTACAAAGACAGTCTATTGTTAGCATCTATATGGGGGTATCCTAATAATAACAGATTCTATTCAACTTGAGCTACACCATAGGATCGATTTTCAACAATCATAATATCGTAAGAAGATGGATGATTTCCTATGACCTTAATTTGTAGTAAGCGAATGTTAATCACTGTGACTCTTTCAGAATCTCTGTGAAAATATTTTATCTTAGGAATGGACAAAAGCAAGTCGACTGTGAATGCCTAACGATACATTGTATAGTTGTTGTGTTTAGTTCTCACTCCTCCGCATACTTCACTTTTTTACAGATCAAAGTAACTGCCCTTCACTGTATTTGACGGAAGTTCCTTAGATAAACTCACAGTCTTTTACTCAATTTATATTTCACGGATCACCTTCTTGAAATAAATTGCTGACAGATGATGGATTATCATTCAGGTAGGTTGTTTAAGAAGCACAATAGGCTTAATATTGCTGAGTGAAGAATATTTCTCCCTAACACTAAAAATGTCTGGCTTTTCGTTGCTGAATATCGATTTTTCATGGTGTACTTCGATGAACATCACATTGTCAAACATAATCACTTTAAAATGGGCGAGATCTAATCTGAAACTACTAAGCTATCTGACTGATTATATAATTCTCTTAATATTCACCTTAGTTGTGACTAACATGTTTCTTACGTCAATAATACTTCTAAATTGTACTGAAGGAATTATATACCTTTGGCTGAACCGGTAGAGTTTTAATAAGACAACACAGTCTGGAGTTAGGAGAAGAAGTGGTGTTCAAACTTCTTTTCGAAGCTAGAATTCTACTCAAGGTTCCAAGAATGTAAACTTATTAATGAGAAGCAACATGTTGTATGATCTTCACTAGCGACTACATTTCATGTATTTTGCATGTAACCTCAAAGAAACTCCAACTGTAGCATAGACTTGAACGTGAATCACACGATACTACAACTAGAGATCCCACCACAAAGGTTAATTATTTATTTATTTATTATTTCTGAACGGTAGCCATTTTAGGCTGGTGTTAAAAACATATTCATACATATAAGCAGACAATATTTTCAATCACGTGCGCTTCATGCTTTTTCCTAATAATATACAATATTGTATTTAGAAGTGGTATTCATCATGGACTGACATCAGCTGGGGAACAATTGAAAGTCTGGGAGCACTGGACATCCGCTTCATCTTAGCATGAGACTCCTAAGCAGCACGCACCCACGACCCGGCTGGGGATCGAACTCAGGACCTTTAGGTTTCACGGCAAACGCGTTAACTATTCAGCCATTGGGTCGGTTTCCAGTGGTTCACAATTTCCGACTTCTGTCAATTCACTACATAGGGCGACTATCACCCAAGGTCTTCAGATGGCATCCACTTGACTTCCGACTGGTTGACCCCCCCCCCAGGTTACGGCTTCTCATTAGAACTTCCTGATGATAAGCTCTAATGAGAAGCCGTAACCTGGGGGGGGGGGTCAACCAGTCGGAAGTCAAGTGGATGCCATCTGAAGACCTTGGGTGATAGTCGCCCTATGTAGTGAATTGACAGAAGTCGGAAATTGTGAACCACTGGAAACCGACCCAATGGCTGAATAGTTAACGCGTTTGCCGTGAAACCTAAAGGTCCTGAGTTCGATCCCTAGCCGGGTCGTGGGTGCGTGCTGCTTAGGAGTCTCATGCTAAGATGAAGCGGATGTCCAGTGCTCCCAGACTTTCAATTGTTCCCCAACTAATGTCAGTCCATGATGAATACCACTTCTAAATTAAAATCCCCATTCATCTCAAAAATACAACATTTTATTTCTCACCCTCTTCTTCAGCTGCTGACCAGGTAAAATGTGCTAATTATCAGAAATGAATAGATGTTAACATACCTTTAAATTGTAAAGGTTATTTGCCATTAGCAGATGGAGCTGTAAGCAAGAAAATGCAAATACAAACTACTGAGTATAATGCGCTTTATATAGACTCCTCCGGCAGTAATCCTAGAATCATAGTGAGCACCTTTGTTTATCCCGTAGAATATCAAGACAGAACTTATGAATGTTGAATGGAGATGACGAAGATAAATGTGAGCTAAGACCAGTAGATTGAGATAGCAAGAAGAAGATATAATTTGTTTGAATCAAGTAACGTATTCACACAGCACATTTTGAATAATCTGAACATGTGCATACTTGTTATAAGCATTTAGAAGGTAAATTAATAAAGAGTTAAAGGGTTGATAGATAAATATCAATCGAATGAGAAAACTATCTTGGATCTTGAAATGGTGGATAATATTTGTGGCTCAAATGGATGATCTTGGTTGTGTTATTTTCTCTTCAGACCTAACTTCAGTATAAAGTTAGGGCTGAAGGTGTCGTCTAGAAAGACGATGAAAGCTCCACGACTAAACAACCCAGTTCAAACTACCCTGGATCTCGAAATAAAAATAAAGATGGAAAAAGTGAAACATAATAGTGCATTAACCTTGTATTCAACACCAAATTTACCGAGAAAAGTTTAATATCGTGACAATTTGCTGTTGAAAACGTAAAGGCGGCTTAAACCTCCAAATGGTTAATACCTCAAAAGGTTTGAAATACGCCCAAACAAGTTGTCTCGATGGGTTAAAATAAAGAAAATGCGCATTCATTTCATGCTTCTTTCATTAATGTGTTTACCGATTGGAGAGCTGGAACGTTTACTTCCAGCCTTAATAGGGTTAGGTGACTCATTGAGTCTTTGACACAACTCTCAAATGTTTCCCTTGGCCTTTATTTTTAACGTTCTACGATTTAAATTGAGTGTGGAAATGGATGCGAT